TATATATATATATGTTTGTAAAATGGCACAGCTTTTTAAATATCTGAAAGTACACCCTTAACATCAATCAGTCAAGCAGTCAAGCATTATAATATGATAATCAAGTATTATGTAATAATAGAAGTTTAGTAATTAGAATTAAAACTTGGTAACTATGTATGAATGCAAATTAGTCATTTGAACTGAACTTAGGACTGGTGGTGGTGCTTTTTTTTGGTCATTCAGGGAAAAAAAAACGTTACATCAGTTCTGCATGTTATGTAAGACTCTCTCGCTCGCTCTCTCTCTCTCACTTTGTGCATGTGAGAGAAAGCGACGGCGAGTTGTGCACCTTCACACTAGAGTTTACAGTATGTCAAATACACAAACACAGGTGCGCTGCGCATCCATTGAGATGAAATGAAAAATATCACAGATCGCTTGACGGAGAGTGAAACTCTGAAGAGCTCAGTTAGAGTGTTTGGCGAGTGAAAATATATCTGTGCTAAACTTATACTTAGCCTCCAACTCACACACTGGTGAGTAAAATCTAAAAATGTATTAGCCATTGGCTAATATTAGACATCATTTAGTCGCCCAGAGTGAAGATTTAGTCGCATATGCGAGTGATTTACTCGCAATGTAGAGAGTTGTGAATGCTCTTCCTCCACAAGTCTACTGTATTTAGTTGAGTTCTCACATTGCAAACTGCTGTTGTGTGTCTTTTTGAATAACCACCATCTAGTATGCACACATCTGATGTTCCATTAGCGATACAGTACTCCTGAGCAAACACATCTCGAAAAACAGTGTAGCTATGTGTATGAACTCTGAAGTAAAGGACAGTGTTTTGATAGAACATTCTTTGGTTTGTTATTTCCTTTAGATCTCCACTCTCAGATGAACAGTTTCTCTTACTGTTCTAAGCAAAAAGTCAAAAGGAACACAAAAGTTGACACTGTTTCCTTTCTTTTCATTTTTACTGCAGTATGTACAACATTGTAAAATCCGTTAAATTCTATCCAAAAACAGACCTGTGACAATTTGTGCACACAAAAGTTGTAATCATCAAACCATCCCCTTCTGGTTAGCAATCAGATTACAGTGCTACTCAAACTGTTCATGTGAAGACTGAGATCACTTGCCTGGCTACCTCACTGATTTTTTCTGTTAAGCTCCCTGTTGATATCAACTTTAATTATTTTTGTATCTTCTACTGTCCTGTTTTACAGTTATGTCATCGCATTAATGTAACAATATGCTTTATATTGTTAAAAAAGGATTTGTTTTTTGTATGGAATTTGACACCACATGGTCAAGATACATCTTTATCAGGCCTGGCTAAAGAGGGCACTTTGGAGTCTATTTCATATTAAAGTCGCTGCACAGCACTTTTTTTGTTCTGTGGAACATGAAAGAAGTGTTCCTGTGGCTCAGTGGAAGAGCATTGCGTTAACAGCGCAAAAGGTCATGGGTTCGATTCCCAGGGAACACACATGCTGGTAAAAAATGTATAGCCTGAATGCACTGAGTTGCTTTGGATAAAAGCGTCTGCTAAATGCATTAATTAAAATTAAATTACTATTAAGATATTTTGTCAATGGACAATATTGAAGTCAATGGGCTCCACTGTTACTTGATACACAGTGTTCTTCAAAATATCTTCTTTTGTGTTCTGTAGAATTAAGAAATGCATACAGGGTTGGAATGACATGAGGGTGAATAAATGATGACATTTTTGGGTTGACTGTAACTTTACATTTTTTATTTTTTAACTTGTATTGGTAGATTACACAAACATGTGTATTTGTAGTGTCTATAGTCTGTAATTCATCTATTAGAAGTGCTTTGTTAATTATGTTTTCTGTCTTTCTCCACAGATCCCCAGCTCAAGGGTATAGTGACCAGGTTATATTGCAGGCAGGGATACTACTTGCAGATGAACCCAGATGGATCTCTTGATGGGACTAAGGATGACAGTAGTAATTCTTGTGAGTTCCCTCTAATTTCATCATCATTGCACATAATAAATAATCAAAACATGAACATGTTTCAAAAGGAATGACTCCTGCTTAGGGATGCACGATATTGTCTGAACGATATCGGAATCGGCCGATAATGGCTTTAAATGTAAATACTGGCATCGGCCCGATATAAAAAATGATGCCGATATGTCTTGCCGATAAGAGGAATACATTAATAACACACATGTGCTCAGGGTGTGTAGCGATTAGATCAAGTCAGCAGTGTGGCTCATTCTTGAAGCAAAGTTTTGCCGGAATGATGATTAGATTCACTGATTTAGATCGCTGCATTTAAGCTGAGAATGCACGTACGTGTTCGGTGTGTGATAGAGTCAACAGTAATAGTAATAGTGCAGTGGCAGCAGCGGCAGCCTCCCCAGGTTCTAATGCTAGTTCGGTAAGGGGTAGGGGGCGCAGTTGGCCTACTTCTAATGAAAGTAAAATACACAAATAACATTTGGGGTGTTTTCATACTTGAGTCCTCTTTAAAAGAACTGAACCCAGACCACTTTAAGTGGGCCAAGAGGTGGACCAAGTGAAAAAGGACCCAGTTTTCTTTGTGTTCACACTATCACAGTTCCTGTAAGAGGACTCGGATGCTTTTTTGGTCCACTTAAGCAGTTATGGTGTCTCAGACCTCTTTGTGTTCAGACTGTTGCTTTTTGGATCTAGTCCAGTTCCGTGTTTGAAGGCTGACATTATGACCTCCAAAACTGGAATATTTTTTTGCACAAAAATATAAGTTTCGTACACCTTTTCAATATTTATTTTGAACCGTTTTCCTTGTTTATGTCATCGTGTTTATTTTATAGCACACAGGGTTTCTGCAGGATTTTTAAGCTGAAATTTAAGACTTTAAGACTGTTTTTAAGACCTGCACAGATAAAATTAATGCCATATGAGTGGGGTGGGGAAATGCCAATGGTAACATATTAAACTGTAAAATGACTGTAAAAAGCATGATTTACAGTTACAGGTTTTCACACAAAAAAAAAATAATAAAAAATAATAAAATGAAATAAAATTTAAAATTTTAGCCTTTCAGATTTCAAGCCATTTTTAAGAAAAGAGTCAAAAATCAAATGTATCAATTATTATAGTAATGGTTTAATGGTTGGTTTAATATAAATTATTATTTTAAACCAGCAGAAGGGCTGTTAAAAAATGCAAATTAATTCTGTGCCAGCATGTGGCGCTTTCAGAACTGCATAAAGATAGACTTTGAAATGTGCAGCGCTCATATTTATCCAATTAAATCATAGCCTTTTTCATTTTAATCATCACATTAAGCTATCCACCTTTTTCTTCAACGCGGAAGTAAGCCTATGGGTGAGACTTCCGGTTCATTAGCTGCTATAGGTAAATAACGAGGAGAATTTCAGATAATACATTAAAATAATATGATAAGACACACCAACTTTCAATATCAAGCAGCAAAACGAACTGTTTTGTTCAGCTAAAAATAGCTGGACGGAGTGGACGCAGATGAGACCGGAAGCCAGACCCATATAATTTACAAATGGCCGCGCCCATTTTTACGACAAGAAAAAGGTGGATATGGCAATTGTCTTTCCGTCCCCATTGTACTTTTTATGGCCTTAAATTTGATACAATTAAATGTAAGACTTTTTAAGGACCAGCGAAAAAGGCATGCTGACATTGAGAGAGAGAGAAAAAAATTGCACAAATAAAATAAAATATAATAAACTGTTTTAAATGTTTCAGGTACAGTACAGGTATCCTTAAATGCAGCATTTAAGTAAGAAATGAACTAATCAAATGAAAAAAAAAAGCATATTATTAATCGTATGAATAATAGATTCTACTGATTCTCATTTTAGGCTGCTGTACTAGAACTACATACTGCACAAATCAGTTGATACACATTGATTTCTTTCCCAGATGTTTACATTCGATTGAGACAAAACCAACTGTTTATGTGAACCATGGGTGTTTTTGACAGTTGAAACAATAAACGCTAAAGAGAGTGTATACACTGTTATTGAAATTAAAATAAACAAGTGTATGCTGTGAGCAAACAATTTGTAGAGATCTGCCAGAAGAAGCAGCCACTATGAACAGCTGATTTGTATGGAAACATCTGATGACCAAACTACATTGGAATTCGCAAATGGAAAAATCAAGTGAGCCCGGGCCGATTTGTGTTCACAATGCACGTTTTTAGCGAACCGTTCCTTTAGCCGAAAGCGAACCGTACTCAGACCACCTCCCGAGATGGTCTCGGTTCGGTTCGGTTCGCTTCTGAGGGGTCTGAGATCGTTTGGAGTGTTCACATATGGGCCAAAAATCCAAAAAGAACCGCGCTCAGACCCCTGAAAAGGACCAAGTGTGAAAACACCCTATAGTTCGTTTTAAAAGAACCAAACCCAGTTAACTTAAAGGGAACCAGCCTAAAGTGACCTCAGTCCTTTTGGTGTTCACAATCTAGTGGACTCAAAAGAGAACCCAGTTCTTTTTTTGGTCCTCTTCAGCAATGAAGAGATCTCAGACCCTTTCTTGTTCACACCACAACTTTATAAGAACTCAGACCTCAGCTTTCTGTGCAGCAGTAGATTTTGGGTATTCAAGATGGCGTCTTCACATGTTGTCATCACATGAATGTGGCACATTTTGAAGCAAATGACAAATAGCGAAAGAGTCAGACAAAGCAGAACTAAAGGAAAGCATCTGAAAAAATGGAAGAGGAAAAGGATAGCAACTAAAAATAAATTTTTCTTCCAACACTATCAACAACTGCTGCTGCTTGCCACAGGACTACTTGTGACGCTTCAGCTTTCATTTGAACAGTTAGTATAGAAAAGTTTCATAAACAGAAAACTACATAATTTCATATTGTCTTTTGAACTGTAATAATTTTATTAAAATGGCTACAGGTATGGCAAGCCTCCAGGTACACAGGTCGAAACGAAACGCAAAGCGTAACGGGATCTCATTGCTTTCGCATATCACGAAGATATCGAACCACAAACAGACCCACAAACGTTTTGGGTCCTTTTAGGGGGGTCTGTGATCACATGGTTTGTTCACATATTCACGCTGAACCGCTCCAAGATCGTTTGAAAGGGTTAAATGAACTAGGTGTGAAAACACCCTTAGACTGTGTTTCTGATTAAATAAAGCAGTAACTGATGTCATAAAATCATGAGTATATTCTGATTTAAAGGTTAGAAGCTATAGCTTCCATGAATAAAAAAAATCACAAACATGACACTTATAAATTAAATAATTCTATATATGCTAATTTATTCATTAATGTGTAATGTGTTATATTTTTTAAACAAATTATGATCTCTAAAATATTTCCAGAATTTTTACAACTCTTTTGCTTTAGACCATCTACAAATGTTTAATTTTAAAATAAAATGTTAAAGTTAATACTGCATTTTTCTGAAAAAAATGCAGCGATTGATATATAGTTTATTTATAGTTATTTTCAAAGCTTCAATGTACTGTTATTATAAGATAACTGCATTATTGTTTATTTAATTCTAACAAATAAGTTCTTGTTAAAAACTAACCAAAATCAAAAATAATTAGCTTATAATTTCCACACAAGAGAGACTTGGTGTTGTTTCCAAACAAAAGGAAATATATCCGTATCGGCATCGACTATCGGCCAAAATGAGTTGAAAAATATCGGCATATCGGATATCGGCAAAAATCCAATATCATGCATCCCTACTCCTGCTCGATAATTCTGGTGCGCAAAATGCTACAGCTGCACTTAAAAGGTAAAGTGTGCTCAAATGCATATCATTATTTTTACTACACACTTTTAAAATCCCTGTTACTGATTCATTTTCTGTAGTTATCACTGTTGCTGATATGGCAGTAGGCTGGTCCTTGGGGAGATGTTTGTGTGCATGTGAGGGGATAACTCAGGAGGCTGTAGTGTATTATTAGCCTCTACTGGGCCTGCTTTTCAAATGCTTCAGGCCAGCTGCTTAATTTGATTTTAATATGCAGATGTACTGACAGAGTGACACACAGAGGGCTCTCTGTCAGTCACACACTCCGAGAGAAGATGACACTTGACATTTGCGACACTAAGAAACACACCTACACAAATGCAGAAAACAACTGTAGAGTTAGCATTTTTTTTTAGATACATTGAATTTTTGCTAAAGTAATCAAAGTTTCCCTAAAGTATGCAAACAACAGCAGTAACTAGATTTTCCTTTGCTAAAGGAAGCTGAAGTGCTCGCAAGGCACACATTTTAGGTAATTTATATTGGCTATTTATAGAAACTATATAAGTTGCAAACCCAAATATAGCTAAAAAAATATATACAAATATACTACAATAGTTCAGAAAAATTTGGACACTTAAGTCCACTTGCTTTGATTTTTTTGTCATTTTGGTAAAATTATAGTTAAAATCAGTTATTTATATTAATTATATATAATTATTATGTTGCAAACCCAAATGTAGGTACTCCAAAAATAATCTGGACAGTTTTGAACAATTAAGCTACAATTACATTTAATAAATTGGATAAAAAATGTCAAAGCAAGTGTTAAGTGCAAACAATAATTTGAGACCTTATCTTTGAAGCAACATCTTTATCTAACATCAACATTATTATTTGATCATTCGATTTTGTGTGAAAATGTTGTTATCTTAAAAATACATTTGCTTAGATTTTTTAGATAAAATATAGTTATTAATATTGGATATTTATATAAATTCTGTAAGTTGCAAACCAGTATATATAGAGAGATGAAGATAGAGAGAAACAGAGGTGAAGAAAAAGAATGAAAAGGCATGAAATGGCATTCAATATCATGCTCTCTTTGGAAGACAAGGATGCAAAGTCCATTTTGTGTCCTTGTAAGAATCTGTTCCTGTGTGCCTGTGGAGCACTTCCAGAAACTCACTTTGATGTAACCATCCCACTCATATTTTGCCACACCAGAGTCTTCCAGACCAGGGCTTTTCTGAAGTCATTTTCATTCAAGCACCCCGGGAGCTCTGCCAATTACCAGTGAGTTGAAGTGAGTTCATTACACTGTAGGTTTAAATCACCCCTTTGGATGCACTTAGTGTCACCAGCTAGGCTGTTACTCCCCTCCAGTACAAACAATGGCCGTTACCTAACAAGACCGAAGAGCTGCTCCAACAACAAAAGATCCATTAAATCTGCCATGCACTACTACTGCCTCCAATCTCTAGCCTTCTATGCTCCAGCTTGTAGCGCCAGGCTTCTGTTGCTGCCCACTAGGCATAAAAACAATTATTCTACATAATATGAGGCCTCCATTCAATTTCTGTGTATCAGTTTTTATGCTCCACACTATCCCTGTTCCCTATCGATACTTCACTCATACTGCGTCTGCTAAGATGCTATGGGGAAAACCCGAATAATGAAGCCTTTCAATAATGCAGTGTAACTGCACGGCCATTGGTTCGTGCAGTGTATTTAAAATAAACCATTGGCTCGGCAGTGGAGCCGAGCGTCATAGGATCCTCAGATTTCTTCTCCTTCAGCAACGACTACAAGATCTTCGCTCTACGAGACTCGAAGCCTTCACCGTGAACAAGCCTCGCAGCGGATCAAGACCCCTCTCTGTTCGGCTGACTTTGCCGGTCTTCAGCTGCCTTTGGCGTCTGCAGCAGCTGTGGTCTTCCCGGTCCCCTGCCGCTATCCGGCGACTATAAGAGCTAATTTTCTAAGTAAATCTCTGGCGGTGTTGCAAATGCCACGCCGCTACTGTCGCTCGTGCAGGGCTCCCCTGCACGCCGCTGATGGTCACGGCGAGTGCATGTCATGCTTGGGCACTACCCACGCTGAAGCTGCACTTACCGAGACGGAATGTCCTCATTGCGAGGATATGAGTCTCGCCTCTCTGCGCTCGTTGATAGCTTTCTTTTCAGAAAGCGACTCCGCCCCTCGCGCCCTCCCGCTTTCTTCCTCCCAGGAACCCTGTGAGGAAAAAGCAGCGGGGCAGAGGATCTCGGTGCTCGGTGACGAGTGAGCCCACGCCGGTGAGCCCCAATGTGCCTCACTCTCTCCACATAGAGAGGCTTCCCCCATTCCTCTTCTCTCACCCGGACCAGCATCCCTCTGCGGCTGCGAGCGATCTGGTCTCGTTTGGTGGGAGCGAGTGCTCCATGGATGACAGTGTGTCTCTGGCTGCTTCAGATGTGGAGGAGCTGTCAGGCTCGTCCTTCGACCCCGCTCCCCTGCCGTCTGCGGAGCCCAGCTCTGCCAGCTCGGGCATGGACACTGAACTTTTCCGCGTCTTGTCTAAAGCTGTGCAAGCTGAGTTTGAATTGGTCTCCGCCAGAAGAGCCCACCCGCAGCCGCCTGGAAGGCCATCCCTGGAGTGTCAAAGTGTGTTCTGGGGATAATAGAACAAGGTTATTCACTTAAATTCGCTCGAAGACCCCCGCGATTCAGCGGTGTGGTCTCCACCTCGGTTCAGAGCAAGGACGCACACGTCCTGCGGTCCGAGGTGATGAATTTGCTGGCAAAAGGGGCCATAGAAACTCCGATATTTCCACATCCCCAAAAAAGATGGCGGCCTAATGCCCATCCTCGATCTCAGGCACATGAACCGCACCCTCATGAGACGGTCATTCAGGATGATTACACTGAAGCAGATCCTCTCACAAGTGTGCCCAGGGGACTGGTTCTTAAAGTGAAGTGACATGTGGCCAAGTATGGTGACCCATACTCGGAATTAGTGCTCTGCATTTACCCATCCAAAGTGCACACACACACAGCAGTGAACACACACAAACCGTGAACACACACCCGGAGCAGTGGGCCCGGTGAGCAGTTGGGCAGTTGGTGCCTTGCTCAAGGGCACCTCAGTCTTGGTATTGAAGGTGGGAGAGAGCGCTGTACATTCACTCCCACCCACCTACAATCCCTGCCGGTACGAGACTCGAACCCACAACCTTTTGGGTTATGAGTCTGACTCTCTAACCATTAGGCCACGACTTCCCCCTCTTTTTGCTGGATCTGAAAGATGCCTACTACATCCAGATAGCCCCCCGCCACAGGCGATTCTTGAGATTCACCTTCGAGGGAGTGGCATATCAATACACAGCCCTTCCCTTTGGGCTGTCCCTAGCTCCTCGCACTTTTACGAAGTGCATGGATGCGGCTCTTTCCCCGCTGAGACAGATGGGAATCCGTGTTCTGAATTATTTCGACAACTGGCTCATCCTGGCCCAGTCAGAGAATGATCTATCATCCCACAGATCCTTCCTCCTCAGCCACTTAGAGTGCCTGGGACTCAGGGTCAATTTCGCCAAAAGCGTGCTGTTCCCCAGCCAACGGATATCGTTCCTGGGAACAGTTCTCGACTCGTATTTGCTCCGGATCGTGCACTGGCTATTCGGCAGCTTGCGGCCTCATTCAAAGTTGGAGCACTTCGCCCTCTCAAGGTGTTTCAGAAGATGTTGAACCTCATGGCCTCTGCGTCTCCAGTTCTTCAGCTGGGCCTGCTTCGCATGCGGCTCCTTCAGTACTGGCTGAAACCACAAGTTCCGTCCCATGCCTGGCATCATGGACGCATGCGTGTCAAGGTGAACCGGGCCTGCGTAGCAGCTCTGGCCCCGTGGAAAGACTCTCGGTGGATGGAACGGGGCGTGCCCCTGGGAATGGTCTGCAGAAGGAAGGTGGTCTCGACAGATGCTTCCAACACGGGTTGGGGAGCTCTGTGCGATGGCAAAATGGCTTTCGGCCAGTGGTCAAAAGAGGAGAGTCGGCTTCACATCAATTGCCTGGAAATGCTGGCAGTATGTTTGGGCCTTCGCACCTTTCTGCAAGTCCTAAGCAGGGCCTCGCCGTCCACATTTACCAGGTTTTATAATCTGGATGTCCCGGCCTTACAGGCTCGGGTCCTTTCTGCTTAAACGGACTTACTCTGGCCTTATGGCAAAACCAGTGCTCAGGCGTTTGCCATGGGTTCTGAGGTTCTGAGGCTGTACAATTTATCTTGGAATTACTTAGATTACTCAGTGCTGGGCCGACCTCTGTGAGTTTGGCCCTATCGCCTCTTGCGGGGCTTCCCTGCAATTACTTGGTCCCTCTGGGCCCCCTTTGGTGCTCAAGGCAAGTTCAAGCATTGGTCGTTCCTCTAGCATAGCACGGCGGGATTGTACTGGTTCCCCATAGCGTCTTAGCAGACGCAGTACGAGTGAAGTATTGATAGGGAACGTACTCGGTTACTAACGTAACCTCGGTTCCCTGAGATACGAGAACGAGAACGTGCTATGTAGCTGCACGACTCAGTCGTTGCTTCAGTTGAAGTAACCTAAGGTTCCTATTGCAAAGTGCACGCTTATATAGACAGATGCCCTGCCCATTTTGGCGGGCTCTGGCGGGCTGTGTTGCCATTGGTTCGTTTTTAATACACTGCACAAACCAATGGCCGTGCAGTTACACTGCGTTATTGAAAGGCTTCAGTATTCTGAGAAAAAGGAGTTTTCCCCATTAGCAGACAGAGTACTCGTTCCCATATCTCAGGGAACCAAGGTTACGTTAGTAACCAAGTACGTTTATGCACTCTGTGGAGTGCGACCAATGTTCAGTTTATGAGTTGAGATTTGAAGCCCATTGTTTATCATTCTAATTCCATTTTAGTTATGTTTGCTATTATTATTGGGGTTAGAGGTTTGTTCTACATCCTAATCACTCTTAGAACTGCATAGCAACATACAAAAACAAGCACATAATCAAATTTTCTTCAGAAATTCCAATTTTTTTTTATTTTATATTCAAATTTAACAGTAATTCCTCAATTCTTATTTTAGATATTATTTGTTAAATTGACGGAAAAGTTAAATTTGCTTACCCCTGCATTGTCTTCACAGCGTTGTTCAACCTCATCCCTGTGGGCCTTCGGGTCGTTGCTATTCAGTCTGTGAAGACGGGCTTGTACATCGCCATGAATGGAGAAGGCCATCTGTACACATCAGTGAGTACACAGTCGTATACTTCAGATAACAATTCTAACAATTCCAACAATTCTTTGTTTCAGAACCTAGTGAATTACTGTCTACATAAGCAGCATCCTTCTAAGGCAGTGTCCTGTAGCTGTAATAACTGACTGATTGTGTATGTGAGAATTGATACACAACTGATTCCAATATGGTTTGACATTAGCATATCTCTATGCTATAGATGCTATTATTTAATAGCCATAAAAATACATAGCCCACACAAATATTGGGTAAAATAGACCATTGTTATTAGATTTGAAGTATGTCTTATAAGGAAGCTCACTTGGTTCTTAAACAGGTTTTTATTGGATTTTAAATCTACCATAGTTTAACTTAGAAACATCATGATTTTGTGATCTTGGAAGCATGCAAAATCTGCAATCTGCCCACTCTCGTTCGCAATATCAGACAGTACTTCATTCTCAGATGTCAGCATGGCCATCTCATTTACAATGACACATCAGCTCAAACTTAAAGCTGATACCCTCTTCGCTACTGCTTTATAACCCTTGATCTCAAACTTATCTGAAGAAAAATTCTCACTGCAGGTAAAAGATGAGTCATTGTGACCACCACAAATTTTTGGGCAGAACATCTTGTGATCTATTATTTCATTCTGTAAAAACTGGTATTGTACTAATACACAGAATTCGTATATCTGTCCAGACAGGTATACGGGTAGCTGAGAGGAGTTAAGCAGAAATGTCTTTGCATGCCAGACATCATTATGACGCTATAATACATAATAGAACATGTCTCTGTTATGGTTTTAGTTTTAAATGCAAACCACAATTATGCACACCCACATGTGCATTATTGGTTTTATAAAGACCTGTTGCTGAAACATTCGTGCTACATTAAAGTCTTCATGTTTACCATCAAACATTACATTTAGCCTACAGTGCAATGTATCCACCTTGACGAGATGGTCATTAATTACTGGCAACCATGGCAATCAGTGAGGTGTTACCTTCCTCTCTGGTGCTGGTCATTATTGGCAGAGCACTGCACAGTACTAATTCATCTTTTCCATGAGCACTTAACTGAATCCTGTTGATATGCAATCTATTTCTCCAAAAAGATTGGACATTTGTATTATAGCACTTCTTCCAGTATGTTGTTTGTTTTCCTAATTTAAAAGTAATTTGGTATAAAAGCGTGTACTGATTTTATAAATCTAATTTTAAAAGTAATCATGTAAATGTAATAGGCAACACATACGGATAACTTTGCATACAGAGAAAGGGAGATGTGAGACAATCCCCAAAAGTATTTTGACAGCTTTGAACATTTAGGACACACTTGGAATGAATAAATTGAATTAGATGGAATGTCAAACCAAGTGTGATCCGCAAACATGTGATGTTACACCTTTTCTCTCAACAAACGTGTTTTTTTAGACTTTTAACCAGTTGGTCCAAAAAAAAAACCCTACTGTTTCTTAATTTGAACTTTTTTGGTGATTTTTTTCTTGCTTGAAAACTGTGTTTGCGTTATGATAAATTACAGTTGCTTTGATATATGCATTTTTTATTGTTGTCATATATTTTGAAGAGTGTCTAAAGTGCCTCCTGTATATGCCTCATACATGTTTCCAATTATACAGGTATTTTTAGTGCTGGACGTTAGTTTTAAAATAATGGTTATATGGACTAGACATGTTGATATGCAGAAGCTGCTCTTCCCTGGTAACAAGCTAAAACTTCCAATATTCAGCCACAGCTGACCCAGCGTATTTCACTGGGGAGTCTTATACAATGACAATATTTCTTGGTCCTAATGGGCTTACTAATCAACTATATGGATGCGCCCACACACTCTCTCAGCTTTCTATCACTGCTTCTTTTCTGCTCTCTCTGTTCCTGTGTGAATGACTCAGGTAATGGCAGAGAAAGCGCCCCTCCTTTTTCTCTGTCTGCTCTCTGAGGTTTGTACATTCATTTGTCATTATTCCTCTTTTCTATGAGAATGTGCAGTTATTATCTGACCCTCCATCCATTAGAGGGAATTTTTCATTAGTGAATAAAATAAGCGCACTTATCCTGTAGATGCCCTCAGATTTTTATTAAAAATGACATTTAATTCTAGCACTACAGCAAACATGAATTTAACCATTTTGAAGAGTTTCCATAGAGTTTATAGTTTTTGCTAAATTAAATTAATAAAAATAATAAATGGAATTAATAGTATTTGCAGCATTTTGGGAGAGACGGCTAGGCAGGAAAATAGACCAGAATGAGATTTATTATTATTCTGAGACCACTAAAACTGTGTCTGCTGTGGCTGAAATTAGTTTTGTGTCCATTTCTGTCATTCCAACATTTTATTGTATCACAGATTAATGACATTTTATACTGTACGATCAATCGTTACTCATTTTCCTTCATCAGTCAAACACAAATGAAGGCATGCTGACGGCCCACTTTGATTAGTTGATCTCTATTCTCTCTTAGAGTCAGGCTGAGAGAATACGATAGTCCCGTTGAATAGAGCAGAATTCCATTAAGAAGCTCTAGCACTGCATCCTGGTCTTTTGTCTGTCAGGCCTATTTTTTGTACAGCGCGGGAGTACAAGTGACCCGATAGTATCGAAACATCCTGGAGTCTCGGCACAATGGACTCATGCCTGGGAAAAAAGAAAGACTTCAATAATCTTCCATTTTTCAATCCCTCTCTTTTGTTCAAAGGGCTCAAACTCTGCTTTCCTCTCTGCTGTTGATGTTCATAGGCTGATACATCCTTTGGAATAATAATCAAGCTCCTTTTCTGGGTGGCTGCAGGTGTGACAGTTGTGCAGTTATAGAAATACAAAACAGCTCTGAAAAGCAAACATACTTGTCTGCTTGAGTGAATGAGAAATGTGCTGGTAACTTTTAAAACAATTGGCAAAGAACATTTGAATAAAAAAGAAGAAAAACAAGAATCGCATATTTGTTCATTTTAGCCACTGTTATGACCGAGTGATTTGGCTTTTCGTGGCTCTCTGGGTATCTTCAAAGCTGTTCTCCTCTATGGATTGAAGAGGTCTATAGCTTTATCGCCCTGCCACACTTGTTAGAGCTACCTTTCGTGAGTTAGATTGACTCTTCACATCAGTAGACTGGCCCCTGTAGGCTTACATCCCTTTGGTGCTTGTGTAGTTTGAACTATTGCTACCAGAGATTGCTTACAAAGCTCAGTTCACTATACAGCCAATTTGAATTGTTAAGTATTTGATTTATTTTCTGAACACTTACTGTATGATGCAGCCACAGTGCAATGCAGTAATGAATAAATCTTATTACGGATCCTTTTGGCATATTTCTAAGTGATAGAGCCTTTAGGCCTATAAATTAAGGTCTATCTGTCATCTCCCGACATAATGACAATATTTCCGCTCACTTGATGTTTTCTACAGTACTTGTAATCTTTCATCAAATCAAATCTTTCCATGTTTCCTGCTATGAGTTTGCTGGCTACCAGGATTTCTTGTCGGGTAAACATATATGTCAGTTAAAGATAAGAACTTGTCTTCTTACCGCATATTTCTGAACAGTAATCTTATATCTAACCAGAGGTTTCACATAACCTGTCCAGTCAGAGATAAGCACCGTCCAATCCCTGTCCTCCCACTGACGATTGTGAGATTATCAGCACCGTTAAAACTAATAAAATACCGTCACAATTTTTAGACATATTTATTCCTGTAGTAAGGGGCACGTTTCTCCAATGGGCCAGAAAACTCAGACCAAAAAACAACCTGAGGATATAAGCTGTAACAGACAAGATATGAGTGAGTTCATCCCATGGCATTTCTCAGTGATGGCAGATGGCTCAGTCTGATTATATTCTCAAGTGATTATTATTCTCACCCTCATGTCTAAATCTTCCTTCACATTTTTTGTTTGTTTGTTTTGTTTGAACAAGCAGCCAAAATCACAGAGCATAATATTTTATGATGAAACGCCGTATTAAATGGAATATGCAAAAATGCTTTAGCTTTTATTATTTGTATTAAATTTGCATCTTGAATGTGAATCGTGATGAGAACCTGTTGGGTTTTTAAAATAAGATTCACCAACCTGTGTTACCTGAATACAGGGGCAGCAGAGGGAGGAACCAGGGACTGGTGAGAAACCATCTTCATGCATTAATGAACAATAAGGTCAAAGCTACAAGCTGGCTTGGAAAATAGAATCAGGGGACATGTCGTCTATAAATAGGTATTTTTTCATTCTGTTAAGATGAATAATACCACAATTACTATTATGTCTTTTTCTATTATTGTCATTTGTCCTATATATAGTTATAACTACACCCATGTCCATTGTGTAGACAATTACATTTTTAATAGACGTCACTAAGCATAAGCACTTTTGCAACACATAGTCCAAGGATACACCTGGACAGGTTAGTTTCAATAGGGATTACTGGCACCCCACTTTCCTGGTTTAGGTCTTATCTTATCGGTCGTGCTCAGTATGTTCAAATTAAAAATTTTAAATCAAAACCATCTACAGTTACTAATGGTGTCCCTCAGGGTTCTGTTTTGGGCCCACTCTTATTCATCATCTATTTACTTCCTCTTGGCTATATTCTCAGGAAATATGGTATCCATTTTCACTGCTATGCCGACGACACCCAGCTCTACCTGTCTTCTAAACCCTCTAGTTCTTTTCCTCCACCTTCCTTGACTAGATGTTTAGCTGAAATTAAAGACTGGCTTTCAGCCAACTTTCTAAAACTCAACAGTGATAAAACTGAGGTCTTACTTATCGGTACAAAATCTACTTTGACTAAATCTGATTGTTTTACAGTGGATATCGATAATAATGCAATTTGTCCTTCTCAGCAGGTTAGGAGTCTGGGTGTCATTCTGGATAGCACACTATCTTTTGAAGCTCATGTTACACGTACTGCGTATTTTCACCTGCGTCGCCTATGGAACTCTCTTCCCCCCAATATACGGAACAGTGACAGCCTTCATACTTTTAAA